CAGCAAGTGATATCGTCATGTCCTGATGGGTGTAACCCAACCATGTCGTACGACCCTCTGCAGTGTCATGCCGAAGGGAAAACGCGTACCTGGAGTCTCCTTCCGACCGTTTAAAAATGGGTCCATGACCCCATTATGTTGGGTCATGACCAACCATTTTTTAAGGGTCATGGAGACTCCAGGTACGTTATTTGTTTGCTGAACAATCGTAATTCATGAAAGAAACTCAGGTCACTATACAAGAACCCTCCAACATACTTTTTGAGGATTCCCCACCCCTCCCACGATGACGATTCATTTCATTTGGGTTCTGGGGAATGCTCAAAAGGCAGGGTTCTTGGACACTGTAATTCGCCTAGTTCAGTTGATATGTCCTTTGCTTCAGCTGAACTGGCCGGAACAAGTGCCCTATCCCAGCGGGTCCCTTGGTACCCTAGGACGTTTTGAAGACTTCAATGGGGTCAAAGTACCGAAAGCGCTTTTGCGGCCTCCATTTGCTTTTGCGCCCCTGAAGAAAGAGTGATCGATTCCTTCTGAAACCCCGGGCAAAATATAACTCCCTGGAGTCTCCGGATCCGACCCTTAAAAAACGGTTGATCATGACCCAAAAACCTTTGGTCATGGACCCATGTTTGATTCGGGTCGGAAGGAGACTCTCCAGGTCCTAAGAAAATGGAAGTCAGATGCCTCGGACACCGAAACCGAAAAACAACAACAACTCTAGGGCGACCTTCCAACTCCATTCTTTCCAGGGATCCGAATCTTTTCAGGAAACCATCAAAAACCCAGGGGAAACAGATCCGGTGTTTGAAAAGAAAGATGGTTGAAAAGAATGGAAAAGGAATCAACCCCTAGAGTGACACACACACACACACACACACATGCACCATGAGTTGGGTCCAGCTCTCAACCCTTTCCTTCACCCGAATCCACCCCTAGAACACATCCAGGCGGCCTCCTGCCCAGGCGTGCTGCGCATCCAGTTCTGCACTTCCGCCTGGCCCATGAGCACTTGCCAGCTGGAGTGGAACTGCGCCTCGGAGCTCTTTTTTTTTCCCGGCCGAAAGCCAGCGAAGGACCTCCCAGATGGGACGCCCAGCTTTGGATGGAACCGAAAAACTAAAACCGGCTTCCATTTCACCAGGTCTTGTGGCACCTGGAGTCTCCGGATCTGAGCCGTGTTGGCTTAAAGGGAAATCAAACGGAGAGCCGAAATCCATGTTTGGGGTCCACTTTTCTGACACGCACCCTTTTTTTACATGGGGCCATGTTCGGTGGAAGACCACCTTTCGCGCGATCTCAAGTGTAGTTTTTGGGGGTTGGTTTAAAGGCCACCCAGAGGCGCCATGGTCAACACTCCTACGGCGCATGGTCATGGTTCCCTTAACAGTAATCATTTATAATATGACAAGAATCGTTGCCAGGTGAATGAACATCCCTGGCAAAGCCCCAAGTAAAGGAACCTATCTTCTGACCTGGCACATATGAGTCATAGTCAACACCAGAACATGGTGCACCTAAACCAATGAAAAGAACTGATTCACGGCGGATATCCGCACCTATTGGCTGGGATTGTCCCTTACTAACCTCAACATACTGTGGATGGACGAAATCCGTTCGCAAATTTTTGAATCATGGTTGAGATACAATAATCCCAGAGGGTCCAAGAACTTTTGAGGATGGCTTTTGGTGGGTGAAAAGGGGTCTAAGTACCTCCTTAGAAGCTACTTGGACCCTCTGGGAATGTTTGTAGGTGTTTGTAGTGGGGGAATAAAATTTCATTCCGTTTCTCAAGTGGTGCGAACTGGATCTCGGCATCCACCGAAACCCGGAATGACCAAGCATTTTTCAAGGGTCAGATCCGGAGACTCCAGGCAAGGACCGCAGGTTTTAGTCTTTGCTTCCATTCCAGGTGAGCCACACCCATTGGATGGACTAAAACCAGTACCTTCCGTTTCTCCTGGTCTTGTGGTACCTGGAGTCTCCGGATCTGACCCATTAAAACTGGGTCCATGACCAACCGTTCTTTTGGGTAATGACCAACCATGTTTAAAGGGTCAGATCCGGAGACTCCAGGTACATGGCCATGGGTCAAAATATCGTACCTTTTTCGGGGGAGGGTTCCCCTACTAAAATATACAGAAAAAAAGGGTACCTAACCTCTCTACTGGAGGACCTAGGTGTACCTGGAGTCTCCGGATCTGACCCATCATCAAAGGGGGATCTGAGGACAGCCACAGCCCATGACTTTTCGAAAAGCGTCGGAAGACACAAAGTATTTGTGCCACAGTGACTACCGCAAAACCCGGAGAAGCGGAACGCACTGGTTTTAGTTTTAAATCCATCCACCTGGAGTCTCCTTCTGATCCTACCATTTGGCTGTGGGTCAAAACCAATGGGATCCCATTTTGGGGCAGCACCACCCATTGCTTTTGAGCCCAACTCGGGCGCCGGATCGATCCCCAACCCGTCGCCTGCTGAGCCTGGCCGAAGAGGATTTGTACTCGCGCCGCGGCGTCGCTCTTGAGTCCGCTGTAGGCCCCCTCCCGGCGCGTGGCCTCCTGGCGCGAACTTCAAAGGGAGGGCGGGGAGTTGGAGGTTTTGGAGTGGTGACCCCAGAAGTTTAGGGATCATGCGGGGCAAGTTTCCAGAAGTTTTAGGGGTCATGTTGGGCAGATTCCATAAGTTTTAGGGGACATGTTGGGCGAATTGCAATAATTCATGAGCCAGAAGCCAAAGGGATGCAAACATGTGGCAACTGACACGCGGGATTGATTGACCGTGACATAAATGCGGTATTCACTGAATCCGTGAGCTCATGTTGATTTGCCCGGAAAGGAATGGAGGGAACCTAACACGAGACATTGGTTAACATGGTAAAACAACAACGAGGCGCGGTACCTTGGAAGCACTCGTGATTGCCCAACCAGACTCTGCAATACACCTATCTGTTGTCAAATTGCATGCTATCAATTTCAGACTTTGTGTCAATGTAGGTGGGTCTTTTTTTCAGTGTATCCATTTTACGCGGGCTTAAAGGGAAACCAAAAGGAAAACCACCAATTTGACCCCTAGCACAGGCCAATCCCATGAAACCCAACCGCCTGCGACGGTGAACTACCTGTCTGAGATGCAACGTGCTAGTGGCTGATATTCATTTCGTTTGATTCATGCGCTTCACCATGCACGGCTCAGCTCGTTGGCTCGTTGCTGTGGAGCACCATGCCAAAAGTCGCCCCCATTTGATCATCTTAGAGGAAGCCTCGTGGCGAGACTTGCCGTGTTTCGGACCTTGGCATGAAGGGTATGGCTTGCACCCTGCAAATATATATATATATATGTATATATATATATATATATTATATTATCCATAAAACCCATTGGTCCATCGGTCCATTGGTCCGCACGGCCGCACTGTCATTCGACCATTTACGATCCATTATGGCATATATAATCTTCCGATTTAGTCCAATGACAGCGCGCCGCCTATCGATGCAATGCTTAAAGCAGTCTTGGGGAGTTGCTCCTGGACAAACTCCTTGGACTCGGAACGCCCACCTCCGATTTGCCAAGGTCACATGCTTGGCCGCTCTTGCAGCCAGGTTCACTGAGCTAGCCCCCAGTAAAGTGTCATCCTCAAAATCACAAGGTGAAAAGGGACCCCACCTCCCAACCGAAACTTCGAGCCCTCCAAATGCACCCCGAAACTCGCTCCGCCCAACCCGCACTCTGCCTCCATACCCAGCACCGCGTTGGCTTCCCCCCGGCGGATGCAAACCACCGTCGCCGCCGTGCGCACCCGCAGCGGCGCCGTGGGGATCATCGCCATCGCCGAAATCCGATTTGATGGAAGGCGAGGAGAGGGGACCGAGGGCGTGGAGGTCTGAACATTTCTGGGCTGCCCTCAGATCCCCTGCTAAAAGTTCAACTTTTAGTGGGTTAAATGGAAACCACCACTAAACACTAAAAGACTGAGAAGCTAAGGAACCGGATGGCTGGGAGCCACCAAGATTTCACCCCAACAAACTTGTCGCCAAACCTCGGTCTGAAAAAGATGGCTTGACCTGAAGGGGAACCCAACAAAAACCAAACATGTCACGAAACCAAAAAGCGAAAAGGTCAGCTTCTTGGCTGCAAGATGGTACTTGAAGTATCTGCCAGTTTGCCTCCGCTGCCTGGCACTTGGTATGTCAAAACAAACATTTGGACTTCGAGATGTGGTGGCCTTCCACTTGCTTTCCCTCGAACATCCAAGCTGAAAAGGGTACCAACTCAAAACAAAACAACCGCCTGCCGCCTAAACTGAGAGAGATCGGAGTGATGCCACGAACTGCTTCGCTGCTTGTCCCCGAGAGCTTGGGCTTGCAAAATCAACCAGACCCACACGTTGCAGGCCAGTCCGTGTGCTGCTTCCGTGTCACAGATCTGCACAGTTTGGCATCTGAAGCACCGTGCAAGCCCTGTCCGAGAGTTCCAGGAGCCAGGTGCATGCAAACATGATTGCATCCATGGGTGTTTTGGTGGGGCATCTGGGCACGTGCCGCACAGCTTTACAACCCATAGGATAGCGGTCACAATCAGACATATGAACAGAATAGTTCATCATATTATCATAAAACTTACACATCTCTAACCTGGTCCATCCTAAGTGCCCTCGAGCATCCAAGAGTTGTGGAAAAGGTTGTTGCCTGTTCTATCACAGGCCTTCCACCGATGTTGGTTGGTCACTCCTCTTCTATTGGTTGCTTTGACAGTCTCCTTGACGTCTTCCGAAGCCCCGAAGAGACCTGGAGATGAATTGCTTGCTTTGAATGGACGGATCTCTTGGTTACTGGATTCAGGGAAGCAACAAAGAGGAACCTGCTTTTCTGACTGAGCCAAAACCCTTGGAAGCGCAACTGCTCCTTTGACCTCAGTAACCCCTGCGCTTCTCTCCCCCCCCCCCGCCAGCGGCGATCAAATCGGGGTCCGCCTAGCTGTGCCAACGCTAAGCTCGAGGCTGCGTCATGGTGCTACCTGAGGCCGCAGGTGCGCAGGGGCCATAACCCTAAGCCGACTCTTCGGCAGTCAGATGGATCACTTGGTTGCTGTTGACCCCCCTGCAAAAAGTTTAACTTTTTGGAGGTTTAGTGGAAAACACCTTTATTTCCCAAAAAGTTAAAGTCTAAAGATCCAACCCAATAGCAGTCAAGGATCAGGTGGGCCATAACCCTAAGCCGACCCCTGGAATGCAAACGGCTTCCTCTATGAGTCCCTGTAAATGAGAAACTCCCTTTTTGCCCACTATAACTATATTATGAAGCTCAACCAGCAGCAAGACTGCGCAACATCTTTACACGTCGGCGAGCAGTGAGGCCTGCACTATCACTGCTGGAAGGTACTGCATTTCAAACTCTATACCCACAAGGTCTCTTCATTCCCTTTGAGGATGGCTTAGGGGGTTGAAAGAATCAAGCAAGGGACCTTTAGGGCTAAATCGATTTGAGTGTTGTTCCGACAGGGCACAAGAAAAGCAAGACAATTGTACCTGGGAAAGGGCAATGAAAGAATGAAAGGACCCCAACCAATTTTCTACCCCGGTGGTTGGGCCATCCTGAGGTTCAGTGCACATGTAGAAGTATCGTCCATGGAATGTGGCGGAATTGCTGGCAAGGATACTTTTGTTCGCTCAACCCAAACACGTGCTGGTTCATGCAGCATCCACTACTCAACACTTCTCCAAGGAATTTACACTGATGCCAATCGTGATTGTTGAGATCCTCTGCACCTACATCCGCTGCTTGTGTTCCATTACACCATCAGGATCTGAGCCAATCACATTGAGTTCCCAATCACATTGAGTTCCCCAATTCGCCGGCACCGCTTCAACAGCGCCCGTGGTGCTCGTTCATGTTCAGCTAATAGCGATGGAATAGCCGTTTAGAGAATAGCGAAACAGCCTCAAGTACATGAAGTTCGGGATGAGTTCCGTACATGTGCCCTTTGAACATCCACTCATCCCAACGCCAGATGATGTTTACATGGCTGTGGGTCAAAAATACGTGCCCAAAACGGAACCCTGGTAAATGGAAACATGGACTAAAACCTGCGGTCCCCTGGTGGTTTAATTTTGACCCACACCCACATGGCCCAAAGGTAATGTGTCAATCAGGGAAACCAAGGAGGGAACTATAAGGGCCACTGAACTAGAATTCCGCAGCTACACCAAACACAAGTTCTCAAGGGATCCACTCTCCGACTCGCCAAACACAAGGATCTCCTCAGAGGTACCAGCTCCCTGATGAAATTTTGTTCTTGGACAAGGAGTTCCCCGTCAAGTGCGCTTGACTCGCTCTGCGAATACGGGCGTTGCAAACCTGACCAGATATAGATTGGTCTTTCACCCAGACCAGTGGCAGAGGAAAAGAAGGGGCGATCTGTCTTAGTAGTCGATCTTGAAGCAACACCCACCCAACAAAAATGAGGAAGCTTGGGTGCTGTAGATTCCCCAGCAAACAGTTTAACTTTTTGCTGGTTGCAAGGAATTATGAAGGGAATCAAAAAAGTTAAAGTCTAAAGATCCACCCCAATAGCGGTAGAGGAAGGGGCAGCACCAGAAGTCAGAGCTGACCACAAACGCTCAAGCAACAACGGCTCCCTCACATTGCAAGGCACTCGAATCTCGCTGATTTCAAGCGGCATGGCCTACCCGTGAATTAGCAAGACACCAAACTGGCATCTTTGACTGCCCGGTTCTGCGAACAAATCAACATGATTGTTTGTTTTACAACAACACTTCCTGCAAGAACTTTGACATAAAACCCTCAAGAATAGTTGCTAGGCATGCTTTCACGACCTCCGATAGCTTGGACTCCGCACCCGCCCTCTCTGCGGACCTGGCTTGTTGAAAATCCATCCCACCGCTCTCATGTCTACAGGCATGCTCAACGAAGGGCGTTCACCACTTCCAGAGAAAGGACGTTATGATCTCTGCGATCTTGCTTCACAATCTTCACGATTTCCAGAATTCGCCAACCGCAACCTATACTGAAGACACCCATGCCTGACGCCAAATGTCGACATGCAAATGCTCAATTGCAATGTGCCGCTCCACTTCACAATCCAGTCACCGCACAAACGCCAAGCTAAAAAGACTTCAACAATCATTCATCCTCGATCCATCTCGATCCCGATGCATCCAGCTCACAGTATAGAACAGAAAGCCAGGTGTGACATGCAGGCTGGGCCATGGACGGGGCTGGTGTGCCGAAGCAGCATGGTCTCAAGAAGCATCAGTGGCTGGGGCAGCAAGTGCTGAACCCAGCTACACCGGCTTCTTGCTTGTGTTGATGCTTGCCTGGCTCCCTGTGCCATGCACAAGAGTTGTTGCTCTTGCAGAGGTTGTCCAACCTTCCAATGACACACGCGGCTACTGACCCAAGGGCGTTCACCGCTTCCAGAGGAAGGACGTTATGATCTCTGCGATCCTGCTTCACTTCTTCCAATCAAGGCTTCTACACCTGGCCACCCAACCCCACGGAATTTGCCACCGCAACCAACCCTAAAATCACCCATGCCTGACGCCAGATCTCGACATCCACATTTTCAATTGCAATGTGCCACGCCCCTTCACAATCCAGTCACCGCACAAACGCCAAGCTGAAAAACTGCAACAAAGCATTCATCCTCCATCCATCTCGATCCCGATGCATCCAGCATACAGTATAGAACAGAAAGCCAGGTGTGGCAGGAAGGCTGGGCCATGGACGGGGCTGGTGTGCCGAAGCAGCATGGTCTCAAGAAGCATCAGTAGCTGGGGCAGCATGCGCTGAACCCAGCTACACCGGCTCCTTGCTTGTGTTGATGCTTGCCTGGCTCCCTGTGCCATGCACAAGAGTTGTTGCTCTTGCAGAGGTTGTCCAACCTTCCAATGACACACGCGGCTACTGACCCAAGGGCGTTCACCGCTTCCAGAGGAAGGACGTTATGATCTCTGCGATCCTGCTTCACTTCTTCCAATCAAGGCTTCTACACCTGGCCGCCCAACCCCACGGAATTTGCCACCGCAACCAACCCTAAAATCACCCATGCCTGACGCCAGATCTCGACATCCACATGTTCAATTGCAATGTGCCATGCCCCTTCACAATCACCGCACACAAGCCAAACTCCAAATCCCATGCACTCAGCGTACAGTTTAGAAAAGAACAGAGGTGTGACATGCACGCTGGCCCATAAGCGGGGCTTGTGTGCCAAAGCAGCATCGTCTCAAGAAGCATCAGTGGCTGAGGCAGCAAGTGCTGAACCCAGCTACACCGGCTTCTTGCTTGTGTTGATGCTTGCCTGGCTCCCTGTGCCATGCACAAGAGTTGTTGCTCTTGCAGAGGTTGTCCAACCTTCCAATGACACACGCGGCTACTGACCCAAGGGCGTTCACCGCTTCCAGAGGAAGGACGTTATGATCTCTGCGATCCTGCTTCACTTCTTCCAATCAAGGCTTCTACACCTGGCCACCCAACCCCACGGAATTTGCCACCGCAACCAACCCTACAATCACCCATGCCTGACGCCAGGTCTCGACATCCACATGTTCAATTGCAATGTGCCATGTCCCTTCACAATCCAGTCACCGCACAAACGCCAAGCTGAAAAACTGCAACAAAGCATTGTTCCTCCATCCATCTCGATCCCGATGCATCCAGCATACAGTATAGAACAGAAAGCCAGGTGTGGCAGGAAGGCTGGGCCATGCACGGGGCTGGTGTGCCGAAGCAGCATGGTCTCAAGAAGCATCAGCAGCTGGGGCAGCATGCGCTGAACCCAGCTACACCGGCTCCTTGCTTGTGTTGATGCTTGCCTGGCTCCCTGTGCCATGCACAAGAGTTGTTGCTCTTGCAGAGGTTGTCCAACCTTCCAATGACACACGCGGCTACTGACCCAAGGGCGTTCACCGCTTCCAGAGGAAGGACGTTATGATCTCTGCGATCCTGCTTCACTTCTTCCAATCAAGGCTTCTACACCTGGCCACCCAACCCCACGGAATTTGCCACCGCAACCAACCCTACAATCACCCATGCCTGACGCCAGGTCTCGACATCCACATGTTCAATTGCAATGTGCCATGTCCCTTCACAATCCAGTCACCGCACAAACGCCAAGCTGAAAAACTGCAACAAAGCATTGTTCCTCCATCCATCTCGATCCCGATGCATCCAGCATACAGTACAGAACAGAAAGCCAGGTGTGGCAGGAAGGCTGGGCCATGGACGGGGCTGGTGTGCCGAAGCAGCATGGTCTCAAGAAGCATCAGTAGCTGGGGCAGCATGCGCTGAACCCAGCTACACCGGCTCCTTGCTTGTGTTGATGCTTGCCTGGCTCGAGGAAGGACGTTGTGATCTCTGCGATCTTGCCTCACGTTTTCCAATCAAGGCTTCCACATCGGTCAAGCCAGCCCTGTGACATTCGCCAACCGCAACCCATTCTGAACACACCTATGCCTGACGCCGGATGTCGACATAGAAATGCTCAATTGCAATGGCAATGTGCCATGCTCCTTTACAATCCAGTCACCGCACGCAAGCCAAACTTCAAATCCCATGCACTCAGCATACAGTTTAGAAAAGAACAGCAGGTGTGACATGCACGCTGGCCCATAAGCGGGGCTTGTGTGCCAAAGCAGCATCGTCTCAAGAAGCATCAGTAGCTGAGGCAGCATGCGCTGAACCCAGCTACAACGGCTCCTTGCTTGTCTTGATGCTTGCCTGGCTCTCTGTGCCATGCACTAGAGTTGATGCTCTTGCAGAGGTTGTCCAACCTTCCAATGACACACGCGGCTACTGACCCAAGGGCGTTCACTGCTTCCAGAGGAAGGACGTTACGATCTCTGCGATCCTGCCTCACTTTTCCAATCAAATCTTCCACATCGGTCAAGCCAGCCCCGCGTCATTCGCCAACCGCAACCGATTCTGAAGACACCCATGCCTGACGCCGGATTTCGACATGGATATGCTCCATTGCAATGTGCCATGCTGCACTGCCCCTTTACAATCCAGTCACCGCACACAAGCCAAGCTCCAAACTGCAACAAAGCATTCATCCTCGATCCATCTCGATCCCGATGCATCCAGGATACAGTTTAGAAAAGAACACCAGGTGTGACATGCACGCTGGCCAATAAGGGCTGGTGTGCCAAAGCAGCATCGTCTCAAGAAGCATCAGTAGTTGAGGCAGCATGTGCTGAACCCAGCTACACCGGCTCCTTGCTTTTCTTGATGCTTGCCTGGCTCTCTGTGCCATGCACCAGAGTTGATGCTCTTGCAGAGGCTGTCCAACCTTCCAATGACACACGCGGCTACTGATCCAAGGGCGTTCACCGCTTCCAGAGGAAGGACGTTATGATCTCTGCGATCCTGCTTCACGTTCTCCAATCAAGGCTTCTACACTTGGCCGCCCAACCCCACAGAATTTGCCACCGCAACCAACCCTAAAATCACCCATGCCTGACGCCAGATCTCGACATCCACATGTTCAATTGCAATGTGCCATGTCCCTTCACAATCCAGTCACCGCACAAACGCCAAGCTGAAAAACTGCAACAAAGCATTGTTCCTCCATCCATCTCGATCCCGATGCATCCAGCATACAGTATAGAACAGAAATCCAGGTGTGGCAGGAAGGCTGGGCCATGGACGGGGCTGGTGTGCCGAAGCAGCATGGTCTCAAGAAGCATCAGCAGCTGGGGCAGCATGCGCTGAACCCAGCTAAACCGGCTCCTTGCTTGTGTTGATGCTTGCCTGGCTCCCTGTGCCATGCACTAGAGTTGTTGCTCTTGCAGAGGTTGTCCAACCTTCCAATGACACACGCGGCTACTGACCCAAGGGCGTTCACCGCTTCCAGAGGAAGGACGTTATGATCTCTGCGATCCTGCCTCACGTTTTCCATTCAAGGCTTCCACATCGGTCAAGCCAGCCCTGCGACAGTCGCCAACCGCAACCCACCCTAAAAGCACCCATGTCTGACGCAGAAGTCGACATGCAAATGCTCAATTGCAATGTGCCATGCCCCTTTACAATCCAGTCACCGCACACAAGTCAAGCTCCAAATTCCATGCACTCAGCATACAGTTTACAACAGAACAGCAGGTGTGACATGCACGCTGGAGCATAAGCGGGGCTTGTGTGCCAAAGCAGCATCGTCTCAAGAAGCATCAGTGGCTGAGGCAGCATGCGCTGAACCCAGCTACAACGGCTCCTTGCTTGTCTTGATGCTTGCCTGGCTCCCTGTGCCATGCACAAGAGTTGTTGCTCTTGCAGAGGTTGTCCAACCTTCCAATGACACACGCGGCTACTGACCCAAGGGCGTTCACCGCTTCCAGAGGAAGGACGTTATGATCTCTGCGATCTTGCCTCACGTTTTCCAATCAAGGCTTCCACATCGGTCAAGCCAGCCCTGTGACATTCGCCAACCGCAACCCATTCTGAAGACACCTATGCCTGACGCCGGATGTCGACATGGAAATGCTCAATTGCAATGTGCCATGCCCCTTTACAATCCAGTCACCGCACACAAGCCAAACTCCAAATCCCATGCACTCAGCATACAGTATAGAAAAGAACAGCAGGTGTGACATGCACGCTGGAGCATAAGCGGGGCTTGTGTGCCAAAGCAGCATCGTCTCAAGAAGCATCAGTGGCTGAGGCAGCATGCGCTGAACCCAGCTACAACGGCTCCTTGCTTGTCTTGATGCTTGCCTGGCTCTCTGTGCCATGCACTAGAGTTGTTGCTCTTGCAGAGGTTGTCCAACCTTCCAATGACACACGCGGCTACTGACCCAAGGGCGTTCACCTCTTCCAGAGGAAGGACGTTACGATCTCTGCGATCCTGCCTCACTTTTCCAATCAAGGCTTCCACATCGGTCAAGCCAGCCCTGCGACATTCGCCAACCGCAACCCACCCTAAAAGCACCCATGTCTGACGCCGGATTTCGACATGGATATGCTCCGTTGCAATGTGCCATGCTGCACTGCCCCTTTACAATCCAGTCACCGCACACGAGCCAAGCTCCAAACTGCAACAAAGCATTCATCCTCGATCCATCTCGATCCCGATGCATCCAGCTCACAGTATAGAACAGAAAGCCAGGTGTGACATGCAGGCTGGGCCATGGACGGCGCTGGTGTGCCGAAGCAGCATCGTCTCAAGAAGCATCAGTAGCTGAGGCAGCATGTGCTGAACCCAGCTACACCGGCTCCTTGCTTGTCTTGATGCTTGCCTGGCTCTCTGTGCCATGCAGCAGAGTTGATGCTCTTGCAGAGGTTGTCCAACCTTCCAATGACACACGCGGCTAATGCCTGACGCAGATGTTGACATGCACATGCTCAATTGCAATGTGCCATGTCCCTTCACAATCCAGTCACCGCACAAACGCCAAGCTGACAAAACTGCAACAAAGCATTCATTCTTGATCCACCTCGATCCCGATGCATCCAGCATACAGTCTAGAACAGAAAGCCAGGTGTGACATGCACGCTGGCCCATGAGGGCTGCTGTGCCAAAGCAGCATCGTCTCAAGAAGCATCAGTAGCTGGGGCAGCATGCACTGAACCCAGCTACACCGGCTCCTGGCTTGTCTTGATGCTCGCCTGGCTCTCTGTGCCATGCACCAGAGTTGATGCTCTTGCAGAGGTTGTCCAACCTTCCAATGACACACGCGGCCACTGACCCAAGGGCGTTCAACACTTCCAGAGGAAGGACGTTATGATCTCTGCGATCCTGCCTCACGTTTTTCAATCAAGGCTTCTACACCTGGCAACCCAACCCAACGGAATTTGCCACCACAACCAAGCCTAAAAGCACCCATGCCTGACGCAGATGTCGACATGCACATGCTCAATTGCAATGTGCCATGTCCCTTCACAATCCAGTCACCGCACAAACGCCAAGCTGCAAAAACTTGATCCATCTCGATCCCGATGCATCCAGCATACAGTCTAGAACAGAAAGCCAGGTATGACATGCACGCTGGCCCATAAGGGCTGGTGTGCCAAAGCAGCATCGTCTCAAGAAGCATCAGTAGCTGGGGCAGCATGCGCTGAACCCAGCTACACCGGCTCCTTGCTTGTCTTGATGCTCGCCTGGCTCCCTGTGCCATGCACCAGAGTTGATTCTTTTGCAGAGGTTGTCCAACCTTCCAATGACACACGCGGCTACTGACCCAAGGGCGTTCACCGCTTCCAGAGGAAGGACGTTATGATCTCTGCGATCCTGCCTCACGTTTTCCATTCAAGGCTTCCACATCGGTCAAGCCAGCCCTGCGACAGTCGCCAACCGCAACCCACCCTAAAAGCACCCATGTCTGACGCAGAAGTCGACATGCAAATGCTCAATTGCAATGTGCCATGCCCCTTTACAATCCAGTCACCGCACACAAGCCAAGCTCCAAATTCCATGCACTCAGCATACAGTTTACAACAGAACAGCAGGTGTGACATGGCCGCTGGCCCATGAGCGAAGCTGGTGTGCCGAAGCAGCATCGTCTCAAGTAGCATCAGTAGCCGAGGCAGCATGTGCTGAACCCAGCTACACCGGCTCCTTGCTTGTCTTGATGCTCGCCTGGCTCTCTTTGCCATGCACCAGAGTTGATGCTCTTGCAGAGGTTGTCCAACCTTCCAATGACACACGCGGCTACTGACCCAAGGGCGTTCACCTCTTCCAGAGGAAGGACGTTACGATCTCTGCGATCCTGCCTCACTTTTCCAATCAAGGCTTCCACATCGGTCAAGCCAGCCCTGCGACATTCGCCAACCGCAACCCACCCTAAAAGCACCCATGTCTGACGCCGGAATTCGACATGGATATGCTCAATTGCAATGTGCCATGCCCCTTTACAATCCAGTCACCGCACACAAGCCAAACTCCAAATCCCATGCACTCAGCATACAGTATAGAAAAGAACAGCAGGTGTGACATGCACGCTGGAGCATAAGCGGGGCTGGTGTGCCGAAGCAGCATCGTCTCAAGTAGCATCAGTAGCCGAGGCAGCATGTGCTGAACCCAGCTACACCGGCTCCTTGCTTGTCTTGATGCTCGCCTGGCTCTCTTTGCCATGCACCAGAGTTGATGCTCTTGCAGAGGTTGTCCAACCTTCCAATGACACACGCGGCTACTGACCCAAGGGCGTTCACTGCTTCCACAGGAAGGACGTTATGATCTCTGTGATCCTGCTTCACGTTCTCCAATCAAGGCTTCCACAGCATCACCGCGCTCCTAGTGAAAAGGTTCTTCACCCCCCTCCATGCAGTATGGCCCTCATCTCGACTGTCATCCAAACGCCGTCACCTAAAGTGAAATGGGCCGATCGACCGACTTATATAAATCGCTGATCTGAAGCTAGGCGAATTGCAATCTTCCCGTCGGTCCATCGGATCGCCGGCCCCCCCGCGTACCGCACGAAAGACTCGCCGCACTTCAAGCAAGACATGTCTCTGCTTTTGTCAAAGCGTTTACAATATTTGTTATATAATATCCAATGAACAAAAACAATACATACTATAGTACATATATATATATATGTATCATAGATCAGTGCCATCTACAATGCGTCAAAGAGCGCCTGGGAGGCAAATGACTCAGACTCTGCCGGAGGGAACCTGAGCTTCACCCCGATGGAACACGACTCCGACGTGCCTTGGTGCGATGGGTAGGGAATGCGCCTGGAGTCTCCTTCTGACGCCTTTAAAATGGTTGGTCATTACCCAAACCAATGGGGTCATGGACCTATTTTGAAAGCTATTTTGAAAGGGTCATGGAGACTCCAGGTGGAAATGAACAGGGATCCACTGAAGGGAAACTGCAAGAAATGGTTTATGAGGGGCATTCCCTGACCTCTGACCTTTGCGCAAAGGCACGGTCGGGACAGGAAACTGACTGAACTGTGGATTACATGAGTAGACAGCGGTACAAGGGCATCCCATGTGAGTTGGTCTGCCTGTTTCCCTCCGTTCCTGGACCCTCAAACTAGCCACAAAAACTGGAACTCACCCCATATTAATTTTGGGTTGTAACCCTGCCATGTTTATGGGCATGTTGAGGGTCCAGGTGGGTGAAAACACCTACCAAGGACCAACGCCTAGGCGCTCAGACACGCTTTCTGGGAGTTGCGGCATGGGATTGGGTTTGGTCAAGCATCTTTAAAAAAAAAACAAGCCGAGGGTTGGGCCTAGGTCCAAGGTTCTCGAAATGGCCCAAGGCTTTTGTCCTTTGGTCCTACCAACAAGCCACCAAAAAGGGGTCCATGAATTCAAGAACCTCCCTAAGGCTTCTTTCCTTTGGTAGCCCTACCAACCAGAAAGGTGCCCAACTCGAAAATCTCCGTATGGACCAGGGATTGAATGATTTGGGGCCCCGCATTCCATAGGGGACCCTTAGCAAAAAAGACATGTCCTTTCTCTGAACCATTGCCCGACTGGCACATGAAGCACTCATCCAGGAGAAGTACTTGCAAGGACTTCCCCTCTGGACCTGGCTAGACGAGCATCCTAGAAACACAAGGCAGATCCGGCCTCCCGGAATCACCATACACAAGCTATGAGCCATGGGCAAATATACGGGCTTGTCCAAAAGGAAGCTGGACATTGTGAGTCCCCTGATTTGTGTAAGAAACTTTTTTTAGCCTCCCTCTTCTCGCCCCTCCCGAGTTCACCACAGATACATCCGGAACTTGTGACAAAGCGGAACCACGCCAGCGGAGCCCAACACCTATGGACTGAGCAGCCGGCCAGGCACCGGTTCTGATGGCTGGGAGCCCTAGTTGCGGCCGGAGCAGACAAATCACATTGGTCTGTATGCAAACGAAGCATAGCTCGGCTTCCAATTTCTAGTTCCTGCTAGCCTCCGAAAAAAGTGTTCCCTATCTTGAGGCACAGGCACAGTTGGAGGTTATGCAACATTAACATGCGGACACAAAATCACAATATCTGGGGGGAAAACACTAAACACTTATCATTGTTCCCTCTCTCTCTCTCTATGTCGCTCGCTCTCTCTCTCTCTCTCCATCTCTCTCCGCCCGGCTGACATGTTTTTTGAACTGCGGGATGGCGGTGCTCCACAACATTGGGTTTGCTTCTAATCGGATACTTCCAATTCAGTTGCTTGCAGGCTTGCCCCAGAAACAAATGGTAAGTGAAGGGTCTGAAAGGGGAACCGACTTGGGAGGTTCCTCATAAGACTTTACAATTGGTTCTCTATCAACACTATCCGCGAATATTCTCGACCCCTACTGGGGGGAGTGTTGGAGACACAAGCACCTTGTGAATTCCAATTCGGCACATTAGATATCAGTTGCATGGGGAAGTACGCCTACGCGGAGTTTTCTTTTGACCCTTAAACAAAACACACAAAGTAATTTGGAGAGAGCCCACATGTTGACCGACCAAGTGAGCAGCGCCCATTTCACTTATTGATTTGTTCTACCAACATGGTTTCTCAAGCTTTACACAGGAATTCTCTTCAACCCCAATGAAAAACGAGGTTGTAGAAGCTCCTCGGGCCCTTTGGATGCTTTTGGGGGAGCTTTGGGAGCTATCGTGGGATGCTTGGAGACCCAAGATCACCCGAACCCCGGTCTTGTCGCATACATCAGGGTGGCCTCCTCCGCGCTATGCAGGCGTGAAAAGCTGGGCGACACCGGTGAGGGCTCCTGGCGCGAAACGGATCGAGTACCTGCTGCCATTGGCAAAGGGAATGACCCCCAAAAAAACCATCCAGGTTCCTTCGCAAAAAAAAACGGGTTCATTCCATTTCTCATTCCCTGAGCAGGGGCTTTCATCGCCGAAAGGGTAAATGCTATGGTTGTACCTTGGGAGACCTCACAGCCACGAGAAAAAAAAAGTCTTGACAATAGGTTTAGTTTGTATTTGTTTAACACACAAATGCACACAGCACAATGGGTACCCTTCAGAAAAGACACACACTCCTGCAGATTAAACCATGGAAGCCAGAAATCCAAGAGGAATCTCCTTAGAACGGATCCCATTTTTCGGGTTCCATGAACATTTGCAGAAAGTGTTTTTCAGGGGTTGATCATTTACTTGCTTGAAGGGAACCTCCGCCCGTTGCAATCTCTCCTGAGATCATTAAAGTTAAGCACTTCTCAGAACCAGATCTAGTACTTGCATTTGATTGTTCCTAGGTTCCAGCTGCTTGAGTGTCCGCGCATCTCGCTTGACTGCCTCCAGATTGAAAACAGGCCCACGCTGCCACTTCTTCGGGCTGATTTGCCAGAGGCAAGCCTGCTGGAGTGCCTTCTGTTGAGTGATTCGCTGCTATAATATAGGGACAGGGACACCAGAACTGCAGCCAAAAGTGGCTAGCCTGCAGGAAATCTGTACACCACTCTCACTCTCACTGACTTTTCTTGACTTTGTCTTCGTGCTGCATCGGGTCTCCGTGCGTTCGCAGCATCTTCAGCCAGGTGTTTCAAGCGCAGTTCACGTTTGGCGCAGCCAAACGGCAACATCTGGGGTTCTTCTCTAGGTCCTCCAGTAGAAAGGTTAGAGTACGGGTACCTTTTTCTCTGTAGCCTATTTTAGTAGGGGAACCTTCCCCAAAGAAAGTTGGTAAAAGGGCACTACTGGCGGACCTAGTTCTTATTTTGTGTTCAAAGCAAAATCAAGGGAAACCTGCCTTGGGGCAGGCCCTGAAGTATTGGTCAGCATAGGGGTGGATCCCTGTTAGCGTGGAATCAACACTTTTTAGGTTACAGCTTGGAGTAATATTGAGTATGGTCCTCCAGACTACCCGGAGTCTCCATGACCCTTTAAAAATGGGTTCATGACCCCATTATTTTGGGTAATGACGCCATTTTTAAGGGTCATGGAGACTCCAGACTACTTCTTCAGGTGTTGTGTAACCATCGCACACCGATGTATCGGAGTTTGCAAGTGGGCTGGTATCCGTTGTGGGCAGTCACCCATCAGTTTCTGGCGGTCATCTTTGTATTAGTTGGGGCGGGACATGAGGGACTGACTCGGCTTGACACAGCAAATACGCGGGACGAAGACTTAATCTTCCCACGTCCACTGGGCTGCAAGCACATGTCAATTCTGTGGTTCTTCAATGTGGTCAGACTGTCCGTTGTTCAAGCGCACATACTAGGTGAGGTCAAGTACTGTATAATCATGCACCTGCCATACACAAAGAACATGCAAGACTACTCTTGCACGGTGGGGCAAAGCCACAACAGCCCTTGAGTGATAGGAGTGCTGTCCTCAAAGAGTAACGCCCAACAGGAGTATACAATGCCGATGTTTGAACAGGGATCAGTATGAGAAACCATAAGAGCCGATCAAAAGGCACAAAAACGCATTGGTGGGCTCCACGGCTAGCCCATCGCAGCATTGTATTACATGTGTGTGTGTGTATGCGCGTGTGCGCGAGTTTGTGCGTGTGTGTGCGCGTGTCCCCTTGGCAAGTTTGCAGCTGTAGGGTGGCAACAGGGTAGAATGCCAGGTTCTGGTTTTGGCCGGGAAGAGAAATGTTCGCACACCCCATCTCCCTGTCCTCAGGCGGTGCCACCTGGCAAGCAACAAACAGCACGACCGATCCACTCGCACCAGCGTGGAAATTGTCCACTTGTGACAAGTACCACTTTACCACTTTTGCAATGCAAGCCTTCTTCACTTAAAGGAGGCGCACCGGTATCACAGTGGGTATCCCCTCGTTTCTCAAAACCTGATCAATACTGCATTGGACAGATTTGTCTGATGCCTGTTGATGGCACATGAATTTGCCCCTGTGAATGCGGCCGCACTTCGCCAATGCTTTGAGGGATCCGGGAAAAAAACAAGGAACACATATCATATCAGTCTAGTGGTTTCTCAAAAGAAGGATGGGTGCAAAAGAACGGGGCTGCAACCCTAGGTGTCCTCTCGGAGACATGGATGGCAGCAAATGATTGAGACCAACTGAGACCAGCGGACATCTCCATCACAACCTCACAACCAAACACGCCGCTCTAGCATATGGGATCAACCCCATCTGCAACTACTACAAAATACTACAAAATCAGTCCGCGCCTGCACTTTGGCCACTGCCACTGCCACTGGTGTGGCTGGTGTTCTTGCTCCCGGCGCCTCTGAAGGCGTTGGGAGTCACTGCCGGAAGCACCCCCGTGTTTGCTTCCCAGCTGGCTGCAAATTCTGTGCCCAAATAAGCTCTGTGGTGCTTTGCAGCAGCTTGGTTTTGGGGGGTTCCAGAGGATTTCGGCCTGGGGATGTGGGCATGTTGCACGAATGGAGTACGAACAGAAACACCGACCATCGTTTTGGTCCGGTATGAACACATCCACATCCCCTTACGACCTGTATGGTGGTCGCTGAACATGGACCAGCTGTTTGGGACCATGGGTGTTCGGGACCAGCTGTTTGGGACCACCGTGTTTGGGATTTGGGACCGAATGTTGGGGACCAGTTGGCTGGGACCACCATTTGGGACCATGGAGTTTTGGACCGGCTGTTTAAAATTGTGTTTGGGACCACAGGTGTTTTGGACCATGGGTGTTTGGGGTTGGGACCATGGGTGTTTGGGACCAACTTGGACCACTGTGTTGGGATTATGGGTGTTTGGACCATGGGTGTTTGGGACCACTGTTTGGGCATGGGTGTTTTGGACCATCGGTGTCTCAAACCAGCCCCTTCACCACTGAACAAATGCGCACAAATTTCCACTCTACACTGAAGCAAAGCGGCTGTGACAACACAGAAAAGGAGGAAGCCATCCTGCCCAACTACAAGCTCACAACGATCCTTTGGGTGGAAGGAGGAACCATCGCAACCCCAGCTCCCAGTGACAAACCCATGTGATTGTTGCTTTTTGTCTGTCTAAAATCAACGGCTGTTTTCTGCTGTTTCATGGTTTTTTGCGCTGCTTTCTGCCTTCGTCTGCCCTGAAGCCTCGCCCCGTTGACCCTTCACCCCCTTTATTTTTCTCTGAGGACATTTATGTGATACCAAAGCGGGGATTTCAAGCCTATGACTGGTTGATTACTTTCAAGGGGCGAGGGAGGAACTGGTCCCGACTTTCCATAGCTTGTGTCCACTGTGCTTCACCTGGCAAAGGTCGATGATTTTGTCGCGTTCTAGGTTGGCCCGGCTTTGGAAGGCTTCGGGAATCAACGCCATCTTGGAACATGAGGTCAAATTGAATTCTCTGGGGCTCCAAGATCTGACATAAGCCCTGCCATATGAGCCGCTGAGGGTTGCCACTCAGCGCCGCTCTTGAATAGCCCAACGTCTGTGTATACGCCGCGCTGCTTCTTTCTTGGGACTCTCAGCCGCTGTGACGACCCTCGTCATGTTTGCTGCTCCATGGAACCGTGACCGGATCTCAAGTCACACCGACCGGCCGTTCTCTCGGGCGTGTCCAATGGAGAGCCAACAAGTGGTTGGCTTCCTTTGGGTTTCCGATTTTTTCCGCTTCCAGCAACTGTTAAGAGTGCCCAATCTCTTGGATACCCTTTCAATTGACCCTACGGTAGTGTTCTACTATGCTGTAGTTCAACACATTTCAACACGAAAGGGCGACCCATAACAAAAACACGGGCTGGTGTCCTTCCCTAGTCTCCCTTGGTACCTTTCGAGGTACCGGGTTTTACCTTTGCCCCTCTGGGCAGGGACCCTCCAGGCATGCGACGCCATTCCGTCTCTCAACTTGGCCCAGCACAGACTGCCAACGGCGAGGCCTGACGTGCTTCAGCAAACTGGGGCCATGAGAATAACATCCTCAAAGTTTACCCTTCACATGGCTGTTGCTCAAACATAGGGGTCCGACATGGAAGCCTGGCAAATAGAAAGGTAGACTCACACCTGCAGTCCCCGCCTCTTAATTTTTGAGCCACACCCACATGATGGATCAAAGAGACACCCCCCAAAAGTCATGAGGACCCCTCACCAGTCATGCAAGTAGCAAACCTCCACAGGTTGGACAAACTGACCCAGAGCACTTTGGACACCTGTTGAATAGTGCTAGAAGTGCCATCAACCCTAAACGGAATTGGAGCAGGAAAGGAACATGGTAAATTTAGCTGTTCCGAGCAAAACAAGCACATGTATTCCATGCTGGCCGCCGTGTGTAACGCCGCGATCCGATGTGAGCAATAACATGACCACATGTGAACTCCACGTGTTTTTGTGTGTGTTTTTTTCGTGCACTTCACTGTGAAATCGGGTTCAGCAAAATCATTAACGACACAAGCCCCCAAGCGTTCGCCACCAGACCATGTGTGTGTGTGTAAAATGAAGTCTGAAAAGGCTGAATGTGCTTAGATATCAAAGCATGGTGCCACCCACACAAAGAGATGTCATTTCGCACGGCTTCTGAGATCGGGATTGTTTTTCCTCGGCTGTGCGCCAAACCTACAAACTGACAACGCAGAAAGCTCTCTAGCGATATCATATCTGTTGTTGCTTCAATGCTCCCAAACGACACTAGTGCTTGGCATTCTTGCAGTAGTTCACACCAAAACACGTTCCTCTGGGCACGGTTGCTGATTTGCCCGGCACAGCCTGCTGAAAACACAAACGCAAACACAAACTCACAGTAGGTGATTTGTCTCCTGTGTCGTTTCAAATGGCATTCCAGATGTTGCCCCCATGCGAACACCAGCATTAACTAGGCATTAACTAGCCTATTTCCGGCTTCTTTGACTATCATGCGGGGCACCTCGCAATACATACAAGTAAGTCACAAAGACGTACGGCGCAGGCCCTAGACGCATGTGCGCAGGGCATCCAAAATTGGGCATCCGACTCTCTCGGATGAAGTCCCAAGCGTTGATTAAATCCGGGGGGGGCAGGGGGAAGGGTGTGCCTTCGGATGCCCGGACATCGATTCGCGATTGAAACCGGGGCTGGCGCCCGTCGAACAAGAAAGAAGCTCCAAATGGTCCCGGGTATTCTTTGATGGCTTCAAGTCCCTCGGGTGGCCCAAAAGAAACACCGACAATTTGGGGGCCTCCCTTTGAGTACCCTTTTGCTGGAAGCCTTCGAACGGACCCCTTCAGACTTGGTTCGTGCTAGGCCATTCGCGAGCTTCCGGCTGTTCGTCTCAGGGAGTGTAGCATGGCCAATCCACTCATGGCCAATCCACCTCAATACTCCCCTACTTCCCCGGGGGAGGTTCCTTTCGTGTACCTGGAGTCTCCTTCTGACCCTTCAAAAATGGGTCCACCCCAAAATAATTGGGTAATGACCAAGCATTTTTGATTCGGGTCAGAAGGAGACTCCAGGTACCACGGCCTCAGCACTTCAGCTGCGTTGCGCTGTGAACGCCGATCGCCGAACGCCGGGGGCCCCGGCGAGATCTTCACCTTGCAGGGCCCCCGCTCTCGCCTCAGATGCCGTCGCCGCAGCGCGGCGCCCAAAAAAACGAAGGGCCCGTAAGCGACACTAAATAGGCTAAACACGGGAAAGCAAATTTGCAAACATATCAATGTGCTGTTGGGTGAAGAGAATCAAAAATGAGTCCTTGTCCGATCTCTGAGCGATTCGAATGGGGCGGTAAGGAGAAAATACGAAAAATCTGTAAGCAAGCCATGCAGCTGTGATTACTTGATGCGCTGCTTATGGCAGGAAGCTACACAAGCATATCCCCAAGTCAATGCGAATTGTATCGAGTCCTACTATTGTGTCGATCGACTGCTGTACATTTTACGCCAAATAGCATGTTTTACTGCTAAGCAGCTGTGCTTCATACCCTGTACAAGTTTACTCTCTGGCGGATTGCCAAGTTGTCAGCTGAGCTATGAAGGTCCTGTCGCCTCAAAATGCCCTGAAGACCCAGAAGCCAAAGGGCTGGTATGGGAAATGTTGGGCTCCACATGCTTTGGTCTTTCGTTGTTTGGTACCCGTGTTTGTTTTTCTTTGGTTTAAAAGGGAAACCAACTGGACAACCAGCAGTTTGGGGCTCAAAAAAAGGACGCACCCTTCCAGGACTGGTTCTCCGAGCTGCGGCGAAGACTGCTTGGGCGAAGATAGCTTCCGCGGCGAAGGCTTTGGCTGACTCGTGTCCTTGCAAGTCACCACTGTTTCATGCCTGTCGAACATGACCCTTATACCGAAGCAGGCCGTTTTAACTGCGAGTCGATCCCTTGTTGAGAGGAGCCCAATGGTATTGCAGGAACTGTTCCTAAGCCACTTGTTCACAAGCACAGCCATGCTGAACACTCAGAATGCATTGTGAACAAGGTGGCATCGCTTAGGCATGTGTGGGTCTCGATGGTCACGACATCTGTTAAGAAGCCAGTGAACCTTGGAACCACCTTGATCACGTGCGGACACGAATCCCTCCGAGGAATAAATAATATTATTGGTGAGTTCTTCGAAATTTGCGCTTTGGGCATCTCTGCGGAAAGGCATGGTCCATGCAAGTTGCAACGATACTCCTCCAGCTACGCACTGGTTCCCTTAGTTCTGGGATCCTGGAAGGAAGGGCCCACCAAATATGCTGGAACAAGCCAACCGCGATCAAATAAATTCCGGACCTGCACTCACAGACAAGCCGGCAAATCAGCAGAACGTCTACTTCAGCAAACCTCCTTGCCAGATGCTCCATTTCCTTTGGCCACAAGCACTTGTTCACAACAAGCTCGGCACACCTGATTCTCAAATCCACTGTTGGATCCAGAGGGTGCTGTCCGTCCTCCCATAATGCTCCTCTTCTGCCAATGTCCAGGTGATACGGACAGCTTGGTAAACACGGACCCTCTTCGCGTGTAGGTCAAACCGGATCAAACCACGCTAGACGAGCTCCCAAGTCAAGTTGCATCTGCTAGGCCGTTTTACAAAAGAAAACCTCCGTATGATTCAAAGACAGCACAAGGCAGTTGCTAGGTCCTCCAGTAGAGAGGTTGGAATACGGCTAGCTTTTTATTCTGTAGTCTGTTTTAGTAGGGGAACCCTCCCCCAAAAAAGTTGGTCAAAGGGCACTCTGGCGGACCTAGGTTGCTTGGAAAGGTCATCCATCGTTCCATGCCGCGCCTCTGCCACAGTGCCTGGGCAACGATCTCGGGCACTGGCAAGCCGAAGGGGCGATACTTGTACTATTCAGGTACCTGGAGTCTCCCATGACCCCATTATTTTGGGCAATGACTCATTTTTTTAGTCATAGAGAATTCAGGTAATCATAGGGTGGATGGTTGGCGTCAGTTGCCGCATTGACAGCATGGTTGTTCCCTCAGCAGAGTGCTTTTTATCATGGCCTTTCCTGGCAAAGTGATTAAAACAAGGGACATGGCAAATGCTGGTAGTCGTCATGCATCTGCAAAATCCAACGGTGTTGCATGCGTCCAGAGCTTGACCCGGCAAGGCGGCCATGACTTTTTTTTGCCCACTTACCGATGCAAGCGATGGGCTTCATCGTGAAAGTGCAGGGAGAGTTGCTTGTCAAGATACGTGATACTGTGGATGGACGAAATCCTGCACTAAGAAACGCTGGAACGAGGATTCCCCTGCCAATAGCAACAAACAATGGTTTCCCATGGCTTGAAGTGGTGCAGGATTTCGTCCATCCACAGTATCGATTGAATTCTTGGTGCATCTGACCGCCAACACGCGACTGCATATCCCCAACCGCCAAAGTACCTTTAAAGGGTCCAAGTACCCTGGAAGGAAGGCTTCGAGGGGTTAGAAGTGTTAGAGTACCTCGTCTGAAGGTACCCGGAGTCTCCATGACCCTTTAAAAATGGGGTCATAACCCAAAATAATAGGGTCATGGACCCATTTCCAAAGGGTCATGGAGACTCCAGGTACCAAGGGGACCCTTGGGGGTAGAAGAGAAAGATTGAACTCCGATCTGAATTGGGCCATGCCGCGCCCCGAAGAAGCTGCGTGGTGCTGTGTGCCACTTCGTGACGAAATGCTTTAGCAAACAGAAACAACTTGATCTTATCATACAACACAAGCCGACAGCATGATATGTATATATATATATGCATGTGTAGGAATACATAATCATAATGTATACACATACTCACACACGCACGCATAAAATTGCCGGTACTCATGCGTTTCAACTGGCAAACATGCCATGTGCATGTAACACGCAGCCCTCAGCAGTGTCTTCATATCCCATGTTGACATGAAATCGACCACAACCGGCTAACCATGCGACGGGTTCAAAGCAAGGCGACACACGTGAGCTTGAAAAGAAACAAGAGGGCTGCGCCCCGGATGGTTTTTCACATTTTTGCCGTAAATGCCGGGATCGATTCGTCCAGTAGCTTGCCAAAGTTATGTAATATGCAATCGATTGTGTACGCAATCCTGCTCCTCAGTGCTCTGTCCATGTGTTCCCTTGGTGGGGCCTGCCCTACAAGCTGAAGCCTCTTAGTATCAATTGCGCGTGGCAAGGCACGTCCAGGGATTCTTCAGGGTTCCTACGGACCGCACCTTCCCTCCCGATGTGCCTGAGAGACGAATAGAATCTCCGGGGCGTCGAGCAGGGGACCTCGGCAAATGCACAAACCTGGAGTCTCCATGACCCTGACAAAAATCGGGTCATTCCCCGAAATAATAGGGTCATGGATCCATTTTTAAAGGGTCATGGAGACTCCGGGTAGGCAAGCCCAAGCTCCAATGCATGAGCCGCCGCCAAAACTCTCATGCGGCAAACTCAATTGTCTCGAACGAGACACCTTCGCTTTTGCGGGGTTTTGGTCATGGTTTGATCATTTGTTCTTTAACGACCCCTTCGGTTTTGTGTCTTCACCTATTCCAGACCAATACATATCTTGCAAAAACCTTTTCAGTGGGACTCACATGCCAACAGTACATGAATACAACCAGTAGACCTCAGTCGATCTGGCGTCTTTGGGCCCACTTTCTTTTGGTGGGATGGGCAGCGCACGAGGTCTAGATTTACATAAACAAATGCACAACAAAGGAACAAGCACAGCGCAAGGGCTCCCTGAAAACCGCAGGTACACACACACATAGAAGTTTCGCTCCAGATGTATCAGCTTGAAAGTTGTCTCCGGCTAGAGTCAGCTCAGGGTGGCTAGCTCTGCGGCGGACAACAATCAAGCCAATGGGTGTAATGCGAACATGCATAATCATCACGCATCATTGTATTGCTCATGCGTGCGCCTCTATGTGCGCGTATGCACGGATCACACAATCAAACAGGCAGACTGGCAGGCTCAGACAGTCAGGTAGACAGGCAGACAAACGAAAAAAAGTCCGACCGAGTGAATGCAAGCACACTCATGTTAAACACTGGTGACCAAGCCGAGCTAGTCGGGTGTAGACAGTGGCAGCCCCGTCTAAAGGGCAAACATTTTCAAGCGGACCCCTCCTTTCACGTCGTGACTATCAATTCCAAGAATACACCCACAACCCTCAGAATGAACATGTAAGTCATTTGAACATGCACCCATTTGTTCAAGTTGTCTGTCCAGGAGCCAGAACATGCGCTGCCTTGGGCCCTTGGCGTTGTCTGACGCGCAATGCTCAGACGAAGGTCCTGCCGCGACACGTGCGAGAGAATCCTCAAGTGTCAATTGCCTTCCAAGGATGTACTTCTAACTTCAAGCCACTTGCTGCCGCTGCAGCTCTTGACAGACAAAACATCACCACTACCAAGGGAAACTCACGTTGAGTAGACCAAAATGGTGATGGTTTAAAACCACCCACAAGGGAAATGGGTGTGGTTCAAATTCAAACCAGCAGGAATTGGACTGCAGGTTTTAGTCCATGCTTCCACAGGGCTGGTGCCATGTTGGGGTTACCAACCATTTTGACAACCACAGCGATCCCCAAGCAACCGCCTGCAGGGCTCTGGCAAACGGAATCCACGTACAACAGAAATGGCATCCCCTTTGACTCACCCCATGACCTGCACCCTCCGCATGGCCAAAAATCAAGGCCTTTCAGCCAGAAGAAGTTTGCAGGCAAGGGTCAGATTCCCACAAGTATCACACTGGTTGGATAAACCCCGAGCCCCACACCCCCCAGAAGGGGCTGATTCCATACATCACAGTTCTTGGCTGGAATTAGGACCCCAGCAACCAAATCTATGTGTTGCCTGGTTAGCGGAAAACACAGGGACCCCAAAAAAGGAAAAAACACGGGGGGAGCTATTTCTGGGGAAGAGTTGGATATAACTCGAGTCCCACAGCAACGGCCTCCAGTTCTTTGCGCACCACCTCCAGCTCTGTAGCGTGCACCCCCTGCGCCTCGTGCGCCTCACAAAACAATCACAGCGAAGTCCCTTGAGGTTTGCCGGCGACTGGCCGAGGCGCTGACCATAGGGCCATAGGTGTCCTTCTTGGAAAAAATGAATGATGGCCCTAGATGATTAAACCAACACGTAAACCACCCTCTCAGTTGTTCAGTGACCCTGGAAAAAAAGGGAACCCTTTTTTTGAGAATACTATTTTTAGTGGGGGAGACACCACAAAAAAAGGGAAAAAGGGTGCCACTGAACAACTGAGCCGTTTATCTTTTAACCACCAAGAAGGACAGCGCTATGAGCTTGACTCGCTCCCCTGCAAATCAACGGGGGAAGCCCTTTTGGGGAGGTCAACGGGGAAACCCAAAAGGAGCTGCCTTTGAGAATGATGTTTCTTTGGAGTGCCAACTTGATCTATAGAAACGTGGGACCTTTGGTTGGCTTCCAAGAACAATGGATTGCCTTAGGTCCCCCCAGTAACCAATTCTTCCGCAAGCCATTCCCAAAACTCAAACCCCTGTAGTGCAGTACATATCCTTGATCATGTGTCTCCAATCTTTAATCTAACTGCAACTTCACCTACCACTTCACAGATCCTTCTCTCTCGAAAAGAAAAAACAACTGGAAAAAGGCGCCAAACCCCTGGAACAAGGGGCCATCAACCCCCCTTGAAAAACGGGTGGCTTCTATAAGGATCATTACGTGATGCCCACCCACTCGACCACAGTTCTCCGCATCTCCTACCTCGGCCCTTCCCGATATTGCCTATGTGTCCGCCTCAAATTGGCCCGAAACCCCCAAAATTGAAATGCGGGCACGTGTCAAAACAGGAAAACCTTCCAAAAGTTGGTTTGCCTCCTGGTTTCCCTTTCAAAACACCTCCAAAGCATATACCGCGAAACAGTCAAGGGTGTGTTGCGCTTGTGTGGCTTTGTTGGGGAAATCAAGGCGACACTTCCAAAAACAAACATCCAACAAACATTACCTCCAAATAGCAACCTCCAACAAGTCCCCGTTAAAACAACTGCCCGAGAAACAAACAACAACAAGTGACGGCCCCCCCATTCTCCAGCAAATCGCCTTGGCCAGTTCGGCGTGCAGCGCTGGGAGCTGTTGCATGATCTGCGCCTAAAAGCAAACAAAAGGTCTTTATTTGGGGATTGTGACGACCCAAGGGGATTCTTAGGCGTGGGTAACACCTGTTTGGGGTGTAAAGGGAAACCAAAGGGACACCATTGTCATAGGGCGCTACCCATACTGTGTGCCAAAGTAAGAAACTCAAACCCAAACGTGGGTGTTTTTTCTTTGGGTTCTCTTATAGTGAAAAGGGGGGTCCTCGATTCTTTCGCCACTACGGATGTCTCGAAACATTCGCGAATGGGCCGATAGAAACAGCCACTTCGGAATAGTATGGCCCCATGGGCTTGCCTCAAATCCGATTCGGGACCTCTAAAACGGGTAACCCGAACACCATTCAAAAAGGAACCATTCAAAAGGGTACCCCCAAGAAAAGACACACTTTCATGGATGTAGAAGCAATCAGGCTTGAGTTGATGTGAATGAAAGGCATTCCCCCATGCTTTCTTTTCTGAGCAAGGCGCCACGCGGGGTGAGCTGGGTGCACCTCAGATCTCGCAGCGAGGTCGTTCCCAAGTTGATCAATTTCATCTGAAAATGCCACTATAATTCCACAACCTGAATTGCGGGATTTTCCGGTAGCTCTACCTGGAGTCTCCATAACCCTTTAAAAATGGGTCCATGACCCCATTATTTTGGGTAATGACCCCATTTTTAAAGGGTCATGGAGACTCCAGGTACCTGTATCATGGTAAGCTCATTAATTACACCCCCAGGTGAGCTCGCTACAACATAGGCAGAAAAAATCGGAAATCCACAAGGGACACGTAAAACGTTACGCCTGACAAACTGGGAGTTCCACTGACCAGAAGCGGCAGCTCGCTTTTAGTGGGCTTGACTGAATGGAATTTCCGAGATCCAGCTTTAGACATGCCTGCCCAGGTCTGCAGTCTGACCAAAAAACCAACAACACACAACATGAGATGGTTCTGAACTTCGACACTGTTGAACACTCTCTGTTGCTTGCAGCTCTCTCTCTCTCTCTCTCCCTCTCTCTCAAGCTATGTTTTTGATGATCCTGTATTCTGAACCAGCTGATTCGGGCTACAAACACTACACGCATTGAACTGTCCAACGGTCGTTGCCGCCCAAAAGGTTGCCCTGAAGATGCACCAACCAACTGCTAGTTGTAACTTCCGCTTCCCTTCAAAAGCGGGAGGTTTGGATGGAGGTGTTCTGGAGTTTCCCCTACCTCTAGTTTTCCACCAGTCAAAACCACCAATTGGCTTCCGATCACTTCCCTCCCACAAGACGGCCGAGAAAGGCAACCTGAGTGCCCTGCTCTGGTGTAGGCTCGATGTGCTGCATGGCCTCGTTCCACTTTTTCGTCAAGGTCCCGTGTTTGTGGGGAACCCACCATAAATTTCAGCCATTGGATTGATGGGGCGCCCAATGTAGAGGGGGAACTTTGCGGCGCAGCACCCTTCAAATCCACTTTGGTTGATCTTGGACACCCGAGGCCTGGAGGTCTAAATCGCTGTCAAACATGAACACTTTGACGGGCGAAAACGGGGTGTTGCTTCACATCCGGCATTGGATGCCGTGGTAGACAACCAAATGCCAGCTTGAGTCGTACACATACCCATGTGCCCGTGTATGCATTGCAAACAATATATCAATACAGTAAGGGTGCAAAATACATACACAATAAATATTCAATCTATGATCACGGTGCAATACACATATATGTATATATATATACACGATACCGTGTTGATCCGTGTTCCCTTGGACACCACTCGGTTTTTCCCAGCTGCCCCGCCCGAAGGATGGCTCCGGAGGCGCGGCCTGGCGAACAGGAACCAGCCGCTGCTTGGAAGCACGAAGCACAGGGGGAAAGGGGGGGGTATCAAACGTTTTTTTGTGTGTGGGGCTCAAAACGAAACAGCTAGCCTAACACAGGTGTTAGTCTTTTCCATTTACCAAGCCCCGAAACTTTTGCTGCATTTTTTTGAGCCGCAGCCATTTGGGTGTGTCTAGTTTTGAAGGTACCCTCACTTCCGATTGGGTGGATTGGCCCAAGCCGGTTATTTGCCACTAAAATTGTCTTTCCAAAGAGTTTGTAAGCTCAGGGACTCAGGGAGTGAGTACCCCCTTGCGGGGGTGGCTAAAGGACTATTACCCCTTTTTGGGGTTCCCCTATGTTGAATCAAACCCAACTTCTTCAATCCATACTTCAGAAAGTACCTTCAGCAAGTCAGCAAGTTACCAAAGCCCCAAATATGGAAGTTGTGACATGTGACCCAACTGATCAAAGGATGCCTTTGCTTCAGCGAAAGCGCTCCAAGTGAACTCTCGCCAAGGCGCGTAGCTTTGCCGGTCAATGCTGGCCTCAAGCAAGCACGGTATACGTCTCCGGGGCATGTTTTTTTGAATAAGGGATATTGCACATGCAACATGTGTACATACACACGTAGACTTGCTGCCAACCGAACATGCCTCCAACAAGGAAACGTTTGACCTGCTTTTAGCGAGATCAACCAAACCAGTGCTTCAATTTTCTAAGCGGACAATCTACAACACTGAACATGATGTGTGCCGAATGGTACACTCTTTCATATGGCCTGTTGCTCTTAGCAGCAGGGCCAATTGAGTTCTGGGGTCCCAGTACTAAAACCAACACCCTCATTTAATTTATTCGAGATGCCCCCAATGGAAGCCTCATGCGGAAAGCTGGTTTTACTCTCCTTTGTGCTGTTTGAGTATCTTCTATGGTAGGGTAGCTTGGGCATTTCTTCCAAGGGGCTTGTAATCCAAGTACTCAAAGGATACTCCCCTTCTCCGATCTCTTTTGTCAGATCTTCTATTTGCAGGAGGTTCCGCAATCAGCAGTAAAACATATGACAACTTAAACCCTCGCCCCCATCCCCCCGGCCATTTTCCACATGCATTGATTCGGGGCAGCAAAGATACCACTCTGCGGGGTGGGTTCACCTGGTGCTGATGCAACTCGCGACTCGGGCCAGCGCCCGTGGTGTGAAGCGGCTGGGGCTGCCTGAGACCCCGACGCGTTGAATGCGTTCGAACAAATGGGTGGGTTGTCTTTTGGGAGGACCCTTGTGTCGGGGTACCTGGTACGGGTCATGTTGACCCCGTATGACTTAACCAACCAGTTTATGAAAATGCGGGGTGGTTTTTGACCCCTCCGAAATTTAGTGGTCAGATTCCCCACTAAACCCAGTTCGACACCCCTCTATGAATAAACTGGGGTTGATGAATATGAGGTCAACATTACCTGTGCGTGGCTCAAAAACAGGAATCGAGCCGAAATGGAATTTCTGGTACATGGACAAGTAGACTCAAACCTGTGGTCCCCTGGCCGATTTTAAGCCACACCCGCCCGTTTTGAGAACCACCCCGCAGCTCTGCCCCGCCTGTGCGCGATGTGCGGGTACGTGGGCTGCCATCAGAGACAGCGACGATATTGCTGTGCGCCTCGCTCGGACTGTTCCAATGGCTTCCAGCGGAAAAACTTAACCAACTTGTGCAGCCATTTGACTCTACAGGCAAACGAGCCCCATGTAGAGTGCAAATTATGTAAGATCACTTTATTAATTAAGCTGGTTGTGATAGGCACGGTAATTTCAAGGTTGGATGCACAACCATCAAGTCGAAATGGAACCGCGTTTTAATTTGGTGGCTGTCAAGCAGCGACCGATCTGGTAAGCCGGTGTCATCTAGAAGAGCCGATGCGATGACACCCTCCTGCAACTCGCCCGAGAACCAATGCCCCAGGTGGGAAGACCAAATCATACAGAGCATGTTAGTCTCCCAGTTGCATGCCGGGGCGCAATGTTGGCACATACTCAGCAGCACTTGAAGCTTTAGTTTGACTCTGGCATGGGCCGCTAATTCAACATGAGTTCGAATATGTGTCAAGGGAACGTGCATCTTCGTCAACTCGGGAAGGTTGGTTTCTCCCGCGTGATTTGTCTTTAGGCCGCCAACTGGTCAGATCCTGTTTGCTCTTCTCCCAAGACGTGCTCCATATTTAGGCATTCTTAACTCATCTAAAGCCCTTCAGAGCGCAACCAGCAAACAGCGTTTCGCAGAATCCCACCAACCCCGGCGAAGGTCCTGAAAATTTGATTCCTGATATGATACAGGTTGATTGTTCAACACATTGAGCAACCTGTAAACCAAATAATCATGAGGCCCGTGCTCTTGTTGAAACCCTACCCCACAAGTTGCCACATCTGGGTTCCGGATTTCCTGGGACACTTTGTGTGCTGCAGATCGGTGGCTTTCAGTTTCGGTCTTCCCATGTGGGCCGATCGAGCTCAATATCCCCATGCACCAAACCTGAAGGCCACTTTGTCGGCAAGGTCACTGGGTAGCTCCTTGCAAACTTCCCACAAGGTAAATGTGGAGTTGTCTCAAAATGGCCACCCAAAACTTTGGAAAACCAAAGGTCAGATCCGGGCGATTTGCTTTGGTAAGTGAGGTTTAGTATGCCACAAACCTTTTGGGGGATCTTTTTGTTGAGAGTTTAAAATGTAGGGGTTGATTTCCCATTCTTTCCAACCATCGTTCTTTTGAAAAACAAGCTATTTTCTCTGGGTTTCCGGAGGTTTTCTAGAAAGAAGGATCCCTGGGTTCAGAATGGAATTGGAAGGTACTGCTAGATAAAAGGGAAGCCCAAAAGGAAAGCCGTTGCACCATCTTGGAGGACAAGCCAAGTGGAAGCTTCTCAAGTATTTTGAGCCGTTGCCCAGTGGCCATGGGAAAATCAGGGCACCCCTTTTGGATGGTGGAGTTGAAAGTGGGGTTCCCCTTACCACGAACAGTTGAAAAGAAGTGGCACCACTGCGCAGAGTATTTGAAGGGAAACCAAACAAAAAGACAAGCACCAGCCGAATTGGTTGTATTCAACTCGCTTGGCCAGTGACCAGCCAAAAAGTGCACACTTGTTGGGTCACCACTCAACAGGGATCCTTGCATCATACACTTGAACATTGCCCTGTAAATGGTGGCTTCCCTTTAATTTGGTGGAAAAAGCCATGTTTCAAATGGGCAAAATGTATCTTTTAAGGAGCCCTGCTCAAGTAAAGGGAGAGCAACGACAAGTCGCAAGTTGCAAAGTGCGGCCGCCTGCCAGAGGTCCACATCCCCAGGCTGGCCCCAGGGGAGGTCCCTCAGCCGCACCTATCCGCCAACCCCGAAAGCCGCCGGCAACACCAAGCCCAAAAACCCAACCCGTTGCCGAAATGGATAGATATTTAGCCAGAACCATCCGAAACACCTTCGATGTCCAACCAATCGCAACCTAAAGTCATCCAAAAACAGGGGCCTTAAATCATTCAACAATTTGTCAAGCCATCCCAACCAAAAGGGAGGGGATCCTTTTGATTTCCCTTTAGAAGGACACCAACAAGCATACTCCCCGCCCAAAAAGAAAAGAACAGACGCAACCATGTCTGGCGGCCTCGTCGTAGATGTCGCGCATCGCCTACGGCAAAAGGCCCTGAGTCATGGAGAGACCTTTGGAAAGTGGTGTGACCCCATCTCTGTGTGCCTTTTAGGGATTCCCGCAAAATGATGGCTTTCCTTGCGGTCGTCCTTTAAAAACACCCAAACAAGGGTACCCTCAAAAACGACACACCCATCTGTTGAAAGCCTCCAAGAAGCCAAGTCGGATCATTCTGTCACTTTGTTGGAGATTGACATTCACCAAGACTTGCTTTAAATGGTCGTGGCTCAAAAAACCGGTACCAAAATGGGTTGCCCTGGTAAGTGGAAGGAAACATGGACCAAACCCGCGTAACCCCTCCTGGTTAATTTTGAGCCACACCCAAATAGCCTAGATCTCTCCAAAATTGAAACGGCAAGGCCAGGAAAGAAAGAAGGTCTCCATGGGAGAAACACAACCACCACCTCTTTTCGGATGGGGCATTGGCATAGTCTGAACTAGGCGACCTTTGATTCCTGGTTGGCCTGACAAGGCAACCTCAGTAGGAGGCTCCACATCTGGAAGTGAGGCAAAGCCCAAACAAACAAAAATGGTTAAGCAAAAGGCTGAACACCCGCTCAACAGCATGCCAGTGGACACAAGAAGTTCCACGAGTCATCACAATTCATCAAGCTCAAATGAGGAGCCACACCTGAACTGGGTGTTTCCTTGTTTAAGATAATTACCCTTTTTGTTGGTGGTTTTAAAACAAAACCAAAAGGAATACTGCCATTTTGGGCGCAAAAAAACACACCCCACCATTCATCGCCTCTCCCCATATGATCCCCGCCTCAAGGCGAGCCTCAAACTCCGGCAGGCTCCACGTGGCAATCAGATTGCTCCTGGGCTGACTTCGACGTCTTGGGGCTTTGAAATCGGAACTGCCCTGGAGTCTCCGAATCTGAGCCTTAAACATGGCTTGTCATTGCCCATATCGGGCTATGGACCGCTTTTTGAAGGGTCATGGAGACTCCAGGTATGCATGTGCAATGAATACAGCAATGATCCCTACTGCCACATGAGCTACGGTCAAAGTATGTCATCCGTTCCTCCAAGGGACATGGGTGGCTCGTCTGATTTAAGCTTGGACCCACCAAAATGAGGATGATCCTCTTGGTTTCCCTTTAAAAGCCAAAAAAGAGGGGTAACCCCCCCCTTCCCTTCCCTTTCCCCCCCTTTAAAAAACACGGACCTTCCTGAAGATTCATTCTCC